TTAAAAAGTGTTGACATAATACCATATTGTGTTCCCCAATCGCCAAGATAATTTAAACGATAAACTGAATGACCAAAACGTTCATGTATAGTTGCAATAAATTGACCAAGTAATGTCGAACGTAAATGTCCTGCATGAAGAGGTTTAGCAATATTTGGTGAACTAAATTAAATTTCTATCGAAAATTTCAAATAATCATAGAGATCTTGGTTTTATTTTTTTTTACCTAAATTCAACAACAAGTTTTTTATTTTGTCGTTCTATCAATGATTTATCAGTTATTTCAGTCCATTTTGGTATTTTTTTCCAATCATCAAAATACCATCGATATCGTTTTTGATCATAATAAGAAGACGAACGAGATATTTTGACTAGATCATCAAATGCTGTCTATAATTAAAAACAAAATATTACAATAATTACAATTAAGAAAATTAAATATTTGATACTTTACAGTAACAAATGTCGAAAGATTGACCGGTACTCGTAAACCACCATCTTTATCTAAAATTGCTTGTTGATCCGTTTGTTCCATTGGCTAATATAATAAAAAAAAAGAAAATTTTTATATGTTTGATTGTTTTATTTACCATTGCTTGAATATTTGTATTCTTATTAAATTCAAGATCACCATCAATTAATGAAGCAGCTTGACATTGTGGTAATGAAACTATAAAACGACCTAAAGGTCTATAATATAAATAATCAATATTAAGACATAAAAAGAAAGTTTAATAGTTGTTGTTAATATTTAAATAATTATGAAGAGTCTTACACTGCTGATTCTTTATGACGAACTGATTCGATACGTGTTAATGCATAGAGTTTTTCATCAAAATTTGTTTGATCATCATTGATACGACGAATTTCAGGTATCGAACGAAATAATGTTTTAATCTATACATAAATATATAAAGATTTGAATGTAGATTGTATTCGATAATTTGAAATACCTGACGAACAGCTTGTTGACGTAATAAATTCATTATGAAGTATTTATTAAAAATTCTAAAAATACAAAATAATCCATGTATAAACAGCTGCTAATTTTTATAGTTTTTTTGCTATTTGTTAGTTCAATAATCAAGTTAAATTAAAACATTTCGTGAATATGCAATAGATGGTGTGTTCCTTAGCTTACGGTAAATGACGCTAGATGGCAGTTAAAGACAATTTGACAGGGATATAATTAACAAAATATATTACTGTTTTGACAACAATAGTTTGTATTGAAACTTTGTTTTCTTTAAATAAATTCTTATCCAACATTAGTTTTTCTTTTTATGATGAATTCAAATAGATACTTTTAATTAACTCAACAAGACATGTTCAAAAACATGATAAGCAATTAAAATAGATATTTTTCGTTGTTTTATTCAGAATAAATATAAAAAAAACAGCTGTATATTATATGATAAAATTGAAATTAAACGATACGGAAAATTCTGCTTGATGCTGAATATATTCATTTATAAAATGTTTGAATGTTATTAAATTTTATCGTATTTTATGGGCATTAATTTTCTACATACAAATCATTTTTATAAAAATTTCTTTCGTAAACGTTTTCAAACTGTTATAACAATTAATCTTAAGACTTGAAACAAAAAAAATAATATTGATTTAGTTAGATAAATATTACAAATACCATCTGAACTATGCGAGAACGCACATATATTTTTTGTCAATATAACTTTTTTTTTATCAATTTATATCAAGGACTTACTTACTATACAATCATATCCTAATTTAAATAATAGTGATATTAATTATGTTTACAGATCTAATAGGATAATAAATACTTCATATTCAAGAAAAAGCTCTACAGAGATTAACCAAAGGAAACAAGGCTACATAGAATAGTATTGAAAATAGAATTGTTTACAAAATAAATCGACTAACTCAATAATAAACATCAATTGAGAAAAAATCTATTTTGATTCTACGAGACATAACCGATATTACGACCGAGAAAAAAACAGCTTTTTCATACAATACAACTTAGATGATTTATATATAATATAAATACGATAGATAATATAACTAACTGAAAACATTTATATTTCTATAACTGAACTGTAATACACCAAAATATTTCTTTACAATAATGTGCCAGCCATTCACAAGTAAAAACCAATAGATCTGTTTTTTTCAAATACTTTTACATGATCCGATAGAACTCATTAAGATCTAATAAAATATGTATGTTACAAGATTTCTAAATCTTTTCTTTGAAATACGATTTACATCAACAACAAAAAAAAAAAACTATCAAAATTAACATCATTGATTTCCTTGAAACTAGCTTTTAGTGTTTGATCTGTTTTTTTGCTGTAGCAGCTCCAGAAGCTGATATTTGGACTCAATATGAAGAACTGCATTAAGCAACATCTCTAATAACTTATGTGTATTATTCAAATGTAGTTCTTTATACTGAGTCTACATATCACGTACTCAAGCTTCTAAGATAAAAAAAAAACTCTTTTTAATTAAAATAATTAGTTAAATGGTCTCCATAGAAAAAAGTACACATTCCATCATATTCAATCCACTTGATTTTGTCTTGGTAAATTCTATTTGTAAGAAACGGTTTGACATTTTTCTTTTAATATAAGTGCATCAGTAGAAATTGATAGGTTTTTTTCCATTGTGTCGAAATTCCTTCGATTTGTTGCATCCATAGTACCATACTCAATCTGAGTTAATTAAAAAAAAAGAAAGGTGTTGAACTTTACAATGACCATTGTATGAAACACAAAGATTCTTCTGAGATAGACGTTGATCTCCTGCTACAGATACTTAGTTATAAGGCACGAAACAAATGTAAAATTGTTTTGATGAAAATATGGATTCTTGAATAATTAATAATGAACTACTTCCTAAAGATTGCTTTTATTGTAATATAAATTTATCATTCAGGTATTAAGGTCAACTACATACGACAGTTTTTTTTTGTATAACACGTATAGAAAATTGATGAGCAATGCATGATGTTTAATAACTAAATTTCTATATTCTGATGTTTTCCTGATCTATTATCTTTTTTATCGATTCAAAGACATGTTCATTCATATTAAAATATAATTATGATTAGTTAATACAACATACTTTCGTCGATGTTTTTTTCTCCATCATGCATTAGGAATTTGTTGATTGTATGGATGGACTTTTTATATGATAAGAATCATGTTTTTTTTTCTTGCCAGAAGCAAAATAACGGCGACTATCCTTTTTTTCCATTAGAAAACTGATCTAATGATAATAGTTGTAATGATTTTTTTCTATTTTGTTTCTATTCATTTTTAACGAAGACTAACTAAATAGATGAACGTACGTTTACTTTCTTTTTCTTTTACTATTGTGTTTTCTTCGAATAGAAAAGTAACTATCCTAAATTAGTGTGTTCAAAATGTCAACTTGATAGTTCATATATTTTTCTTTTCTTTTTTCTTTTTGTCTTTTCATGTTGTCTGTATAAGGATTAGTCTTTTATCTAAACATATAATAGTAAAAAAACTCGATTGTATTATATATATATATAATCTGCAAAAGCAAAGCAACAAGAGCCGACAGAGTAAATGAAAAAAAATAAGACAATAACTTTCATCTCCGTAGTCAATCAAGATGTAAGAGAGACAGACTATACAATGATCACATTGACTCTTTCAGACATGAAACAATAGTAAGATAGATTTAGAAATTCCAACAAAAATAACTATTGGAAGTAGAAAGAAACAAAAAAAAAGAAAAAAAGAAAAGAAGAAATGTTTCCGATTTGCGTGTAGATCATATATGAAGTAAGTGAGATCGAGTATGCCAGTGACATAAATAAAACAAGAAAGATAGATCGTTCCTATTTGATCAATACAGTAATGATTCGATTTTTCTATATGAGTGGAGATATAAGATATTTTCTTCTAATTTATTCTTGTTTGCAATTTCTCTCTCTATCTTCTTCAACATCAATATAAACGAATGAATTTGGCAAGTATTCGAAGAAGAAAAAAATTCTTTGTAACTTGTGTTTATCATCATTGAATCTAGATAGTATTAGAGAAAATTTTATAAATATAATGTTTTTTTTTCTAAAGATACATAAGTGTTATTTGACACTTGTACCAAGCATATTCAATTAGTTAACATTTCAATACAATAGATTGAAAACATGTATGTTTATTAGATGTTATTATTAGATGAATGAAATTGAAAATAACCAATGTATGATGTACAATATATGATAATAAATCTATTATTTTAGATTAATAACTTGTATTTCGTCATAGCAAACATGAAACGGGTGCTTTCGGGATTGCTTGTCTTATTTCTCATCATTGGTAGGTTATTATTTTTGAATAATATTTTGCTTGCTTTTATTCATTCTACTGATTGATGTCTAATTTCCCAGTTGGTTGCTTTCTTTAGCCTTGAATATTTATCATTTTTTTTTTATTTAATAGTTGCGGTTCATCACTCATCATCATACGGTGGTCGTATTGACAAACGTTATTATGATGCATGGGAACCAGATAATAATGATGGTGATTTTTCTAAAGGTATTCCTGGTCGTCAAAAAGGTATTAACAAAGATGATCCATGCGAAAATAAACCATTGTGGTTTTTAAAATCTCAAGCACGTCTTGGAAAATTATCACCATTTTACGATTGTCTTATTGATCATGGAGTGGAAAGAAAATAAAATTTATTTGCAAATATAAACTTCGATTTATTTTTCCTTTTTTCTTAAAATATTTTATGAGAAGAAATTACAAATAAAAGACAAACATATGTTAAAAAACAAATTAAATAAATAAATAAAGTTTATTATCGAAGAAAACATAAATAGATCACATAAACATATATATATCTTGTTTTACTATCAATTTGAACAACAAGAAAAGAATGAAAAAGATCATAACTATCATTATATATAAAAATATAGGTCACCATAATCAATGTTAATTATCATCAATGTGATACACGAAAGCATTGCAAGTATACAGCTAACGCACGGCATGCATGTCAAGTAATTGTTGTCGCATGCGCATATTATCAGCATTTGTTGTTTGCCAGATAGTCTCAAGATCAACTTCAAGATTGCTACAAAAAAAAAATAATAACTTAATAAATTCTACATTAACTATACATATATATTTATATATCTATACCGTCTTTCTGCATTTAAGTCATCGATGGTCACTTGTTTTTCGTTTAATAAAGTCATAAGTTGTTGAATACGTTGTTCATGTTCCGAACAACGTACTTTTAAATTATCATATTGTTTTTTCATTCTATTTTAATATAATATAATAGCTAGGATATAGAAAACTTTATAAATAACTTACTGTTCTTGCACTTCAATAACATGTTCTTTACTTTTACTTTTGAAATTTTCGAGATGATTTTCAAGTTCGGTTATTTTTTTTGCTTCTTCTTGCATTCGTATTCTGGTTTGATTCATTTCTTCTTCTTTTGTTTTAGCCTTTGAAGTATTCACAAATATAAAATGATATATTTTAATCAAAAAAAGAAAATAATTTATTTACTAATATTGAATAAGTTTCTTGTTCTAATTTAGATTGTTCAACTTCTTCATTAGCTTTTTCAAGCATTGTTGCTGTTCGTTGTTCTTTTATTTGTTGTAATTCAAGTTTTTTTTCAAATGTTTCTACACGTATTAGTAATTTTCGATTGAATTTTTTTATTGCATTTATATCATTTTTTAAACGTTCGTTATCATTACGACTTTCGGTTAATGTCATTTGAGCTACTCGTTTAGCAGTTTCAGCATCCTATTTTAAAATAAAATTAATTATTTGATATTAAATTTAAACGATCTGAAAAAAATCTGGAACTGTTAAATCATCTGATAGATACGAAAATTCTTAAATCTATAGCGAGAAATCTTCTTTTTTTCCTCATTCTTGAGTTTGAAGATTTCAGTCTGTATGCATAATATTGTTTTGTTTAAGTGCTTAAGTATGCCACGTCTTTTATCTCATTGAACTTTTTCAACATAGATTTAAAATTTTGTATTTTTCTGATGATTTAATGGTCTTCATTCCACGTGATGTTTTGAGAATGTAACCGAAGTCGTTTTTTTTTCATTTTCAACAACCGGAAATGGAGTCGGAACAATGGTTCCGGTTCCGGGTACTTTTTTGCATCTCCAAACTCTTCATAATTTAACAATATCAAACTGTCTCTTAAAAATATGTACTCAGAGGTGTTATTTCATAATTTGAAATAGACAACAATAATAAATATAATGGTATGCTCTTATCAATCAAGATTGAATAGACTCTTTTGATTGTCGTATTTAGCCATCAAAGCTTTGACTCAACCTCAATGAATTAGTATATGACGGGTACTCTGAGCACTTAGGAACGAGTTATCGAATAGTAATTTGAGGAAATATTTGTTCATTTTTCAATCTGCAGTTATTTGCCAACCGTGTATTCTTTCTGAATATGACTCGAACATTTTTGTAGAATTTATGCTTTAAGAGTTATTATTTAACATTTTTAGGTTGGTAAATTGAGTTTGAACGAGTTTTACCGTTCTAACACTTGAGTGAAAATGATTTCAAATGCAAGTAATGAAAGAGCAAATATTTCTTGATTAAATGGTATATTAATAATTAGGTTGCTGCAAGTCATTGGTTAACAATGAGTATTTCAGGTAAGAAACATCATGCCAATTTAGTCATTTTTTCACTTCTATACAAAATAGACTTGCGAAGTGCATTTCTCAATGGTGATTCTGACACGCTTACTTTTTATATTATTTTGTAGAGAAAAGTTTTGCCTTTAATTCTATACAGTAATATAACGTATGTAGTAAAAAAAAGACTATTTTTGCAAAAAAAGTTAATTTTATGCCGTACAAATCTAATTCTAGCACCTCTAAATGCTTGATTTATAAGTCCTAGAGAAATATTGAACCTATATTCAGAAATAATACAAAATTCCGATTTCAAGCTCAATGTTTTCAAATTTTTGCAGACTGAAAAATAAACGAACATTTTGTCTCATTCATTTTCGATGACTATTTGACTATAATTAGTGGTCAGAAGATGCAGTGATCATTCGATTTCCGAAACGGAGTCATTATTGAACCATTCATTTCTCATTTACTTGTCTATCAATTTTTGTTTTCAACACTTTTTGAAAGAAAATCAATTTCTTTCTTTTCCCAGGTCCAATAAAACGGTGTCGTAAACGGCTTTAAACGGCGTAATAACGATGTAAAACGACGCCGTAATCCGTCATACCAGATTACGGAAGCAAAATCGGGGGAAAACGATGGCTGTTTTCTAGCGATAAAAACAGTTCGTAAAACGGTATAACGGATTACGGCAAAATAAGGTCAAAATTAAGGCAGTAATTCACCGTTTTATAGCCGTTTCAGGCGAGATAACACGCCATTTCCGACGGTCGGAATGATCCGCCTGGGTTTTACTCTTAATTTTCCTAATTTACTTTTTGCACTTTTTAAAATTATTTCCTCCATAAAAAAAAAATTTACGCATGATATTGTCATCTTATATTATTTCCAGTGCTTTGATTTTCACAAAAATCTATTAATTATCAATATTGAATTATTCTGTTAAAATCAATCGGATAGAAAAAAAAAACGATTGAATATAATCAGATTTCTTAATTCTCTTTTTGTTTGTAGCGTTACAGATTTTCATGTTTATTAACAAATCTATTTGATAATATACATCTATGTTGAAATTATTTTTTAATTAAACGTACCTGTATTCGACGAAGAAGTAATTGCATTTCACTTGCATGTTTTTTACTTAATTCATCTATTAGAAAAGAAAAACTTATGATAAAAACAAAAGTAAGTAAATAAATGTAACCTGTTAATCGCTTCATTTCATTAATTTCTCTAACATGATCTTCAACATGCATTCGATGATCATTATCTATAATTAATTGTTCATATTGTTTTCTTAATTCTTCATTTTTGATTCGCATTGTTTTAAGTAATCGATCTGCTTCTGTTTTTTCACTTTCAATAATCATTAAACGTCGTGTTAAATCCGATACTAATCAAAACAAATGATATTTACCTTATTTATTATTTTTTTTATGAAAAACAAAAATTTACCCTCTTGAATTTGTGCTTTTTGAACATCAGTTAATTTATTTGTTTGTAAACTAAGTTGTTCTTGAAGAACTTTATTTTCTTCTAAGACAAGATAAGCTTGTCGTTTGATATTATCACTAAAAACAAGAAAATAAAATATATGTTACATCAGAAAACTAAAACGTGTTCTTACACATCAGTTACATGTGTAGGACTTGGATTTATTGGTATTGATACTGATGTACGAGCAATACGTTCATGTAATGATAAATTTTCATTAGTGATGATTTTAACTGAATCATGTAATTCATTAAGTTGAGTCTATTATGGGAATATTATGTGGAATTCTTTATATTTATTAATTATTTTACCTGAAGTTTTCTAATAAATTCTTCTCTTTCATGTAATTTTTCATCATAACAAACAAATAATGGAGCAAGAAATTTTTGATTAAGCTAAACGAAAAAAAAAAACCAATCAATGTAAATTATAACAAAACACTATAATAGTAAACCTACGAGCCAAATTGGTGATGGACCTTTCATTGGTAAAGCTTTTAAATTTCGTTGTTCATTCTTAAAATCAAATTTTATTAATAAATGTTATAGATTATTCTTTATTCATAAAATGAAATCATTACAACAATAAAGAGAAAAAAAAAGAAAAAGATAATTGTAGAACGATAGGTGCATTGTTTAGATTTGAGTCTTTCAAGACCAACTTTTTTTTATAGTTCTGAATCACGTTTATTGCAAGAGTTTTTAAGTAGCTCAAAATAGAACTCGTCAGATCCGACACTAAACTTACGGATTCTAGCTTAGGTTAAAGTTCGAATCTAGAATAATCTATCCCTGTTACCTCTTATGTTTAATAGAATTGTCTGCTAAATGTAAGTGAAAAACTTTTCTATTAAGCTGATTTGCATACAAGAAAAATAAAAAGTTGAATTCATTGTATTAGGTCGAAAAATTTTCGATTCAATAGAAACTAATGCCTAAACAATATTGTATTATTTTCTATAAGCTTTTATATCTTAAATAAGATATAGTAAAAGTATTGGTTTTTACAGATAAAATTATATAGACTAGAGTTGATCAAATTTTTTCTGAAGCATTTGGGTCAGCAGCCATTTTTCGTTATGCATAATTAGTTTATTTCTAGCTTTTTGTTGAAAATAAATTTCGAATCATTTTTTGTTTTATTTAAAAGTTTCATGATACTGATTATAATATTGAATAGGCATAAACTGAATTCAAAGCTTGACTCAGTATTTTAGATGAATAGTTCAGATGTGGAAATTATCCAATCAGTGTAAAATATTTTCGGAGATTTGCTCCATCGTTTCTTGAAGTATATGAGCAATCATGAAAGCATTCTAGTGTTCGAGTATTCCTGACGATGGTTGAATTTTGTTTTAGAATGTTTACAGATCTTTAGGTTTTTGTTGATTTATTTAATTTTGTGTAGACTTTTCATAGTCAAGCCTAAAATACTTTCTTTTGGGTTACTTCTGATTTCTTTTATTAATTAACTGAAAATGACCACATTCTTCGAACTTGAAGAATTGTGAATAAAGAATTTCTATCACCTACAATTTGATTGAATCTATTAGTGTCATAACGACGTTTCATATTTCTTTTCAAAGTAATCAAGAAATAGTTCTTGAAAAATATGGAAAGTAAGTCAACTTTTAATCACTAATATTATATTAAAAGAATGATAAGATAAAAATTACGTTTACATTGTTCAACCTGATATGCGTAAATATGATTTTTTTGGGCTATCTCAAATTAGAACGTATGATAATTATTTCTCATCTAACTTATTCTATGAATTCTAATACTACACAGCTCTCAAATGTTTTACTGAATTGATAAAATCAAATAATCAAACGATTGCTTTATGGACTATAATCAAGAGAACAAATTTCGCACATACATTTGTATCTTTCTTTAATACATCTGGTGGATGTATTGTTTGATATTCACTGGAAGCAACAGTTAAACGATGAATATAATCTTTAAGAAAATGATTTTCCTTTTTAAGTTCTTGTGTATTTGTTTGACCTTGATCTATAATAAAAAAAAATTAAATGAAAAAAGAAAATATTTCTTATTTATTAGAATTATTAACCTTGTGCATATCGTTCTTTCATTGAAGTTAATTCATTTTGTAACTGATCACATCGATTTTGTAATGTTTTATTTAAATTTTCTAGATCTTTTGTTTGATCTTATTAGAAAAATAAGAAATAAAACATTCATGAAATAAGAAATAGTAATAACGAATTTTGTCAAATTTGGAGATCTATTAAAAATTGAGAAAATTAATTTCTCATGTTATAAAACAAGAAGACTATACACCAAAAGTATGATCAGTTACTGATAATTGTAGTTTATGCTTTGAATGCATAGTCGTCTTACTCTACAACATGATAAATTTGTTTTTTTTTTAATTCTGGATAAGTTATCTAATCCGATAAGATTCTTTACCACGTCCAGCTTGTTTTAAAAGATCGCTTAATTCTCGTTGTGATAATTTTTGTGATGTTTGTAAACGATTAAGTAATTCTTCTTGTTTAGTTTGTAGACTCTATATAATTTATTTAATATGAGGATAAAAAAAGAATCAATTCACATCTAGCAATTATATTTTACTTGATTAATAATTCGTAATTGTTGAACTTCTTCGATTAATAATTGATTACGTTTTTCAAGATCATTAAAATTTTGTTGATATTGTTCTGGTGGTGGAATAACTATACGATAAAATCAAATTAATAAAATTTTGTTTAAAAATGAATAAAATCAATATATACCAATTTTATCCAATACAGAATAATTTGTATTAGTTATTACAGTATTTGTTTTTTGTGATGTTGATGATGGTGAATCATATGTTTCATGAACAACAGGTTCTTTAAATGAAACAGATCGAGCACTAACTGGCATTGTTGTTGCATCATTAAGAGATGAACGTGCTGTTGTTGTTGTGGTGCTTGATTTGGCATCGTCACCAATACCCTTGAAATAAAATTTATTACTTGATATAAATGCTCGAAAAAATTTTCTAATTTTGAAAGTATTTAGTTTTAGAATTATTTAATATTGTTACATTGAAAAAAAAAACTTATTTGTATTATTAAATACCTATTTAATGCATAACTTTTTTTTCTTCTAATGATTAACATATATGATAAATAACATAGAAAGTGACAAATATCATTTTATTTTTTGTTTCAATCATCGTATTAGCATGCTATACATACATTGATTTATTCTTTCAGTGAGATTCAAAACACTTCAATCTTTCTCTCGATAAAATTTTGAAATATATTGTTAACTTTCATCTAAACTGAGATTAATAATTACAATAAGATTCTTTCTTTATATTAAATATAAAAACCTACAATATTTAAACAATTAGTTGGAATCTATCAAGGTGTGTCATATTTGAAAGTTGAATCTATTAGAACAACAAATTTTACAGCTTCAAGTTTCAACTCTCAAGTTTCAATCGTCAAGTATCCATTATATTCATATTAAGAGAGATGTGTGGTGTGTGTGCGTTCGTAACACTTACATGAAGAAAATGGTTATGTTTGCTTGAAATTAAAACCTTGAATTGAATTGAAATTTCAAGTTTGATATATATAGAAGCTAAAGAAGAAGTCTTAGATTCATAGAATGCTTTGGAAGATTCTAGAAAATTTTTAGAGTGATCTAAGTATTGTTAATATTGACACACCATTGTCGGTTGCTAGAGTCTGCATGAAGCCTAAAAAACCTCGCTTGAAATTTAAATTTACTATTTTCAAAGAAAATATATGTGAGCTTCACAAAAAAAAACAACAAAAATTCGATGTGAAAATGATTTCTTTAATGTTTATTAACATATTGATGAACTTACATCTCTTTGACTATGAGGTTTTGCTGATGATGGACCTAATTGACTTGGTGAAGGATTGAGAACTAATGGAGGTACATGTTGTCGTATAATTGTAACTGATGCTCGTTTTAAATTTTTGTCCTATTTAATAGAAAAAAATTTGATAATTTCTTTTTTGTGGTATATGAATTGAATATAAACATACATCTGAGGTAGTAGTAGTTGTTGTTGTTGATCGTGATATTTCAGCATTAACTGTTGGTTTTTGATCTGAACGAATTTTTGAACTAAGATCATCATCAGCCATTGTTGATGTTGGTTCTTTAGAATAATATTATACAACGTAAAACAATACATTTAATCTTATCAATAGATTACCATCATCAACTACATGTCCAAAGAGACGTTTTTCAGCATCAGATAATGATGCCACTCGAGATACACTCTTGAACAAAAAAAAATTTAATTGAAAATTGAATATGAAACATACAGAAAGTACATAAATAACTTGACAATAAAAACACTCGATATTTCTAGTCTACTTTAATCATTAGGTAGGAGACTCTTCAAAACTTTTATTCACAAGGAAACTATTAATGCATACTCTCCTAAATTATCACTGTTGAGCTCAATAATGACATACACTACTGATTGAAAGGATCTTTTCTCTAGTGATCTCAACCGTTCTTAAATTATACATTTGAAATTTTTGTTACATACACTAAATTAGGAATTTAGATCGATGAGAATTGCTTGGTCTCGTTTGCTTGGCTTAAAGATAAGTTATTAAATGTGATATTTTTTCTGATTATGAGTTCTATAACTCAAGAAAGGAAGAAACTTAAAATCTGATCAACGTATCATTGTAGTAAAATATCCGTTACTTATGAACGCTTCAATGAAACTTAATGAACTGTGTAGCGTAAAAAGTTATATTTGTCGACTATATAATGATAAGTGAAGCGAGTCATAAGTGTAGAGAACTTGTTACAACTCATAATTTCTTTTTAAATCGAGCGAACAATATTGAGTGAGTCCCACTACCCTAAATTTATATATGCCAATGATTTTACAAGATAACACACTTTTGGCTGATAGTGTATGTCATTGTTGAGGTTAACAATGCTAGTTTTACACAAGACCAATGTGACAATTTTCTTATGAATAAAAACTTTGACAAATCAGCAGTAAAGTAGAGTAGAAATATCGATTTTTTCTTATCATCTTGTTATTTATTACAATAAATAACTTTCATACACTTTTGACGGTAGATGCATGAAGTGATTCTTGATATTTACGTTCATCTTTTTCTTCATCACTATATATGATAGATGAAATATTTAAAAAAAATCAAAGATATAAATCATTGGATTACCTTTCTTCTTCTTCATCTGTACTTGCATCCATTCGTCCAATAGGTGTTCGTGTTCTGGTATGTTGACTATTATCTTCAACATATTGATTTAATAAAGTCTTCGATGATGGTGAAATAAGTATTTGACTGGCAAGAGAAGCATGTAGAAAAGTAGATGCTACTGGACCCCATTCTTCGTTGGCGAGTATCTTTTGCTGTGGAAAACATTGAGCAGCTGACGGAAGAGCAACAATACTTGTTATTGGTATTATAGATGAAGCAATATGGCTATAAAGTTGCTAAAAACACATCAGAAATAATTAAATGAAGTATAAGACAAATTAAAAATGAAAGGCGATATTGAACAAAACTTACGGGTTTTGCTTTTTTTCCCCGTTTTGTCGACATTGTTGAATAGCTAAGATTCTAACAACACACGAAAAAAAGAACTAACAGACGTCTACGTTTGCCTGTGTCAATGATTCACTTTGATGTGTCAGCCATTTTTCTCACTGTTACTAGTAGTGATTGTCAAGGAAAAACTGACAATTTTATTTAAATAAAAATTACAATAGATGTCGTTACGAATAATTTACTAGAAAGGTTATCCAAGTAATAAATCACTATTGAGTTAGGGCTATATTCAATTGATTAAGCATAGTGAGTCAGTAAACATTTTAGAGTGGTTCTAGCTGCTAGATCTTTGTTTTTAAGATTTCGAATGTTTAGTGGATTTATTTGAATTTTACCATTATAAAAGTACTGGTTATAGATTAGCTCGTAGAAAAATTTTGAAAATATTTTTCACTAAACTTCTCCGAAATCTAAATCGATATTCTTCACAATAATCATGATACAATGCCTATTCTCGAAAACATTTAACTTGTCGGAAAGGCTTAAGGAAAAAATTGTGAAATTTTTTTACAAAATAGTTCAATTGATGCTATTGTGTGGATTAAGTTTTAGATCGAAATTCAATCGTATAGTTTCGCTTGAAAACTAGGATATTGCATGAAAAATCTACTAAAAATTCTCGATCTTATCAAAAAAGGCTTAGCAGCTCGAATGACTCTAAGATATTTATTTCCTTGCTAAACTCTATAAATTAAATATGGTTTCAGCTGAAAAACTATGTGTCACTTTGAAAACTTCAGTCGTTTGATGCCATAAAAATTATCAAATTTTTTTTATTTAAAAATTATATATAGATGAGAGTTTCTATATGATAATTACATTAATGAATTAAATGGAAGAATGCTTAGACGAAGAATATGTATGAACCGAAGTCGTACTCATGCTTTTAAAATTTACGTCATACGACTTGATGTATGAGACTGAATAATCATTAAAGTTAGTTTTGTAGTACAATCTTTATTTCATTATTTTCTTAAAGTCAGATATGAGTATATTACGTTTGTGGAAAGCAGCAAATTTCAAAAGTCTTATTGGGTTTCGACATAATTTTCATGGTAGAAAGTATTAAAATCTTTTAGCGATCCTCAGAGTCTCATATGTGAAAATGGTATTGACTGTCTAATCTTCTGGAGAATTAGAAAACTGAAAATAACTACAGTATCACAGAGTAATAATAAATCTATCTCTAAATTGTCATGAACTTAAATATTGGAAATTCTTCTTTTGGTTATTATTATTTCTGTACAATAGTTTCATAAAATAATCTGATGATTTAATCTACTTCGAAATGTAAGCGTTGTGTATATTTATTCTAAAATCGATATGTTAAATTAGCATACATCCAAGCGAAGATGATTTTTACTAAGTCATTCGCGATGTTTTGTTTAATTATAATAAAATATTTTTATTTTATTATCATGTCTGCAAAGTAAAATGATGAAACAAAACAAAAAGATGCTAAATCTAATAATTGATTGAAAATTGTGTCACTATTTAAACACATACATTAGTTATTCATAAATTAAATTCTTAAAGTAACAAAAAACAAAAGATTTTCATGATAATTAGTTTCATTTTTGCAGCTAGTAAATTGTTTCTATTTTGATTAGACATGAAAAAAAAAAGTTGTTTTTTCTTTCTCTATAACAATACTTGTTCGTTGTTTTTTTTCTTATCTTCGATAGAATCTTATCACTAGAAAATCATTGTTTTCTTGCTGTATCCATCAATGTTGACATTCTTTAATGAATTATCATCATTCACAATCTACATTTTATAGAGTTCTAACAAGATTTCAAGGATGTCATTTATCATTAAGAAGCCAAAATCATAGCCGCAACAAACCATAACATATGAGTACAAGTTCATATTGACCTATGAATAAGTCTATTTTCAAGCTATATTATATATAGAAATTAACATTGATGTCATGTATCACAAGCGCATAATTCACACTTCAGTTGGAATGTCTAAGGGTTAATAAAATATTTTCTTCTCAAACTTATTTGTTAGATTTGTTTCTTATTAAACAACTCACTCATACCTATATATAGTAATTGCTACAATTCTACTCAATAATTCTTAAGTCCATATGATTAGTTTGTCCAAATTTCTAAATATAAATTGTTCTACAATATTTCTTTGAGAATATTATTATAGTAATATGGTACCAGGGTGGGACTAAAAAACAAGTACACTATATATTTAGTATTATCAGTCAGGTAGAAAAAAATAATTACAGAATCATTATTTTTTCCTAATTGTGAAGAAACACGATTATTTTCGTTTGACTCAACAATAAGAAATGAATTCTAAAAAACAAATAGCACGTATGTATACCGGTAATGATAGCATGTTGAAACCTTTCGTGAAGAAGGAAATATATTTTTGAATGAATATTTATGCGCATAATAGTAGAAAACACAAAGTATGAAAAATTTGATAGAACTTGTTAGTTTACCATCCAACAACTATTTTTCAAATAATGTATAATTACTAATAGTTCATTTCATAGAGAATCGAAAATAATAGTGAAAATAACTAAAAAAGTGTCAGTACTAGATAGATTATAGGAAAGAAAAAGAGAACAAGCAAAAGAAACTATTTGTCGACTATCAACATATTTTTTGATCACGATGTTCAGTAGGATTCTTCCGTCTGTAGAGATATGTTAGTGATAAAAGTTCCTTCAACCGTAGAATATTTGTTTTAAAATCAAAACTTATTTGCCTTTTTTTCTTTGCTGCTTGTGTTTATGAAAGGTAAGCATACAGACGCAAAAGGAACATGAAGTTCATTTGTTTTATTTAATTTCGATGAGAAACAAGAAAAACATTTTTTAGTTTATCATGTTCATTTATGATACAGACTTTCTATTGAAATTCAACATATGATAACTTTTCTAGTTATATTCATAAAACATCTAGAAGATTTCTAATAGGTATCATATGAAGATTAACTGAAAACTTCAGAGAATAATTAATTTTTAAATTTTCTGTAGATATTCATGTACAGTAAGACCTATTTTTCATTTAATAAATTAGTTAAAGAAATTTTAAGCTCTTCAAAGTTAATTATGAATGATAATAACTTCAAACATGATACTTGTTTTTTATATCAATCATATTATATTATTTTAATTCCTACGAGAGCGTTCACCGAACGTCATACACAACATAGGCGTAAGATCTTCATTAATCGCAAGAGTAAGTTTCTGACGTCAATAAATAAATTGCATGATGGGGCTTTTCTACATACACTTCAGACACAAACTATTACACTGAAGAATAAGACCCATGATTTCTATGATTGTTATTACTCTTGATTTTATTGTTTTATATAAGTTATTCTATTCGTGCATATACTTATAGTGATGACTAGCGTTATTTCTTGATTTCTATTTTTATACTATCTCTTTACTAAATATCCTTATTAATGAAAAACTGACAAATGTAAGCATGAATTCATGTTATTTTTTTGGTACATTCGATGCGATTACTATCATAAAATGATGCATCGGCAAGTACAAAGATATTCGTAAGAAGAAGAATATAACTATATTGCAAAAAAAGAAAAATAAATTACTATCGTTTTAGCATGCATAAGATTGTTTCCCTACTTTATTTACATATATAAATAAAAATAACGTTTTTTTTCTACAACGTAGATTTTTAATTAGCGATTTATCGTAGGCTAAAACCAGACACGTTTTTTTTTCTTCTTTTATTTTATTTCATAATATAGAACAAAAGATATTTAACACTTTTTACATCGGTTACTAATGATGGTTTTAAATCGGTCGACAACATTGATTATGTATTCTCAGAAAAATGCTTCATCTAATTATACAACCTATTGTCTATTTGATATTGCATTATTTCTTCGATATGCAGGAACCTTGACAGTTATACTTGGTTTTATTGGTAATTTTTTATCAATTGTTGTATTTAGTCGAAAAGCACTTCGTTCTCGTTCATGTTCAATATATTTTTTGGCATTGAATGTAAGTGACATATGGGTATTAATTGGTTATACATTAGAAAATTTACTTTATCATGGCTATGGAATACAACTTTTATCAAGTGCATTTATGTGTAAATCGGTTATTTTTCTTATTTATGCCTCAACAGATATATCAAATTATCTTCTTACATTAGCTGCTATTGATCGTTGTATATTAATATCACATAGAACAGCACATTATCGTTTTTGTCGAGCATCAACAGCAAAATTACTTATAGTTGTTGTTGTTACCTTATTTAGTTTGATTAATAGTCATTTTCTTTTTGGATTTCATATTGATCAGAATGGTTCATGTTTGCCAGCACCTAAGCAATATATAGACTTCTATGTTCATCATTATGATTCATATATTGATATAATGAAAACAGTGTTAATTCCATTTATAATCATATTTATTTGTAATATATTTATTATATCATTATTAACACGAAAACACAATTTATTACGAAGAACTTCTACGCAGCGACGACGTCTTCGTCAAGAAAAAGATCGACAATTAACTGGTTTTCTTTTATTAACATCAATATTATTTATTGTTTTATCATTACCATCAGAAATAAATGATTTTTTACGTACATATTTTAGTCGTCAATTTCAAATTGATTATGCATGTCAATTATGGACAAGTACAACAATATTTATTCTTTTACATCAAATACATCATGCATCACATTTTTATGTTTATACATTAACTGGACCAATGTTTCGAAAAGAATTTCAAAAATTTATTTGTCATTATAAAAATACTAATCATAAAGAAAATTTAAATGATTTTCCTAGAAGAGCAACTATAATGAGTCCTCAAACAAATCATGAAGATACTGATGATCAACGATTAGGTGTATTTCTTCGACAAACTCGTTCATTTTCACGTCTAAGTTTTAAAACAGATGTTTAAATTATGAAAATAAAAAATAAATTTCTCTGGCATTTTTCTTTTATTATGAGAAAAGAAAAAAAAAGTCTTTCATTTATTTATTAACCAATTTGATGAACAGCACCAAGAATCTGTTCTACTGTCATTGATGAACCAAATGTTGCAAAAAGTGTTTGCCATGCTGGAAGAATATCTTTTATCTCATTAAATGAAAAGCATTGACCTTGAACATTTATATATCCTTTACAACAGACCATATGTGTATCAGGACATGGTTGTGGTTGATAACTAAATTTTAAATAAATAGAATTAAACATATATACATATATTCTGATTTTTTTACTGTAAAAGATGACCAGTATTGGAGTAAATAGGAATTGAAGGTGGAACTACAGCACAACACCAATGTCTTCAATAAAATCACATAAAAAAAATCAATTAAACAAATAAAATTTTAAAATAATCATACCCATCAGTATCAGCTCGTTGTTGAGATCGCCAAACAGTAAGAAAAGTTTTTGCATTATCATGTAAATCGTCGGGATTTTTGGTTTCAAAAAATTTTGCTAAATAATCTTGATTTTTACTTTGAACTTTTGTAATAATAGTAATATTAAAAAGTAAAGTAAAAATAAAAATATTCATCCACGTGTGCATTTTTTTCTCAATCAATAAAAGAAATAAAGTATGATAGCAAGTCGCTTTTCACATTTAAAAACTAATTTTTGTGTAATGAGAAACCAAACAGATGTTTTCGATGATGTACATCGTACAAGGGCCACTTAGAAGAGAATGAACACATTCAATTTATTTTGTTACAAGTTCTATTCTCTTCAAGAGTGGTTATCGAAACGATGTTAAGTTGAAGAAAAAATAAAATAAAGCAATACATACTCCTTTTATTGACCTATACATTCGTATAAATGTTCGAATACGTTTTCTTTTTCTTTTTTTCGTTAGCATCTATTCAACAAAATCATTGAAGCATAACTACAATGTGTATGTGACAAGCACATATATCTATTCGAAAGACATTAGACATATCCTTTTTTTTCATTTGAATGCATTGATCGAAACGATTAGAAAGAAATGAAAAATAAATTATAGGATGACGAAGAACAGATAGAAAATGTACTAATGATGAATGTTGAGGACAAAAAAAACAACAAGTTGTCATCGTCTATCCAGATTATTGTCATGCACAGTGTTTTTTTTGTAAAAAACATATTAATGTCTGCTATTTAGCATATTATCAAACAAAATACATGTAAATATCGAAATCAAGACAAAATTAATCTACGGGACTATACATTATACGAATTTGACTCAATTCCTTCGCGACAATACTATTTTAGTGTTTTTATTTATTCAGAGACTCTCTATCGTCATCATTATTGGCGAATATATACTAAAGAAAATATTTTGTTTTAACTATGAATTAACATATATTTTTCTTCTATATTTAAAGTTGTTAGGAGAATAATCGCAGATTATAATGTAAAATTTCATGGGAAGACTTTTTATTATCAATAAGACGACTCTCACAAAATCTCTTGAGATTTATGAATTATTACGTGCCTTTCATTCGATAATCCTAATGAAGAAAATTATAATTGAAATATTTTATGATGAATGTAAAAAAGAAGCACATGACATACTTATTGTTCTTCATTCTCTCGCGGACTGTAACAGACTGATAAAATAACTTGTCAAGATCTAGACTGGAAACAGTATCCGAATTCTTGAGAAAAATGTCATCATATATTAATACATACATTTCAGAAGAAAAAACTTTGTTCTTAATGACTTTGAACCAGTTTTTTGAGAGCATTTCATTTCAAACAAAGAAAAAAAACCTACTCTAACAGTCTTTCAAGTTACAAATCAATTTCACTGATAAATAAAAAGGAAGAGTATTTCGAATATTACCATGTCAAATGAAATAGAAACTGAACTTTTTCATGATTTAATTAGATATGAAAATGTAGATATATTTAATCTAGGTAATATCTTGAATATTTTAGATATTATCAATTGATGAAAGTCAAACAGTTTGAATAAAGATTTCTTTTGTAGAAATATACTTTTGAATATTTGGTGTTGATGACTAATATTAAATACCAATTCTTTGTTATGAAGTAACTCAATGTCATGTTTTTTTCTCCCTAACTACTCCTACGTTTGTGATCAAGTTATAACAAAATAATAGATAAAATTTTGGAATAAGTTATTTTCATATTATCTTATGTCAATATATTCAAATGTTTTTTTTTAAGTAATTCAATACAATATGGTAGAATATTTGCATTCAATAAAAATTATCAGTTATGCTTATACCCGAAAGAACAGATCAACCAATCATGCATTTTGTTTGCGTTTCATACGAGGTCGCTGTTGTCAACGTGAATGTGTCCATGAAAAATTTATTTTTCGATTGGAAGTTTTCGTTATGATATTTAATGTGTATTTAAGTTCTATAATAATTTATATTATGAAAATACTAACAAGTACCGATGATGAAGTGTTTTTATTTAAGTATAGTTGGTGTCAATCAGTCCATTGTTTTATAGATTTATTTAGAAATTTTATGATGGTACCAGCAATAAGATAATTTATAATCTACTTGTATTCATAATTACGATTTAAAATCATTCATTAAAATGTTCTACTTTTTGTATTATAGTTAGAGAAAACGATAATGTATATATGAAAATGGTGAAATTAATCATAGATCACAAGCAAAACTATTGCAAATTTGTTTATACGAAAATGCATTTTCATACTAATTTTCGTGTATTTTTATTTGGCTCTTCGTCGATATTGTGATAATATGATGATTTATTTTGATTCAAAAGATGAAATTAAAGTTCAATTTTTAAACTAATTGTTACTGTTTTTTCTAATTCAGAGCCAATGAGAACCATTATCAAAGAAAACAAACAAACGAAAAATAAACGAAAAATTCGTTAGAATCGAACAACGACAAGTAATTTGAAACATATAAGAGTTTTTATATATTTAAATAGATGTTTTATAGAATCCTGATAGACAAAAATAACAACTTTGTGGAAAAAGTTCAAATTATAATGATAATAGACAAATCATTACCAAAAGCAAAAATTGTATGTTAAATGTTACTTTTTATTTACAAATAAATAAATAAAAAATTTTCTTCAAATAAAAGATTTACACAGTAATTATAATGAACATGTTAAAGCATTTAGATGGGTACATTGAATTTGATGACAAGCTAATAATATTTAAATAAAGTTATTCTTAAAAATGATTTTTATTACTTGGAAAAACGTTTAATGCTTATAGCTTTATGAGATGATACTGCATTTGTAGAGTGTATATTCGAGAAAGTACTAGTCTGGAGAATTATGTTCATATGGGACTAATGAGAAAAACTCGAACCATTAACTTATTACTGCGTAGATGCCTCAAATTTACGATAGTTTTTATATAAATGCTTTAATCTTCGCTAGTAATACTAGGAAACCTAATTTGCAAATTTTAACTTGAAATTTTGTATCAAGACAGACCTTAACGAGAGTATTGTATTGAGAAAGTTTTTGATATTTTAGTTTACATTTATCCTGAAATAAGAATATCAAATCTACTGTTGTATATGTGCGATGTAAAAAATACATTTTTATCATAGCGATATCTTGAAATAGTAACAACGATAAAATCTGAAATGCTCAAAAAATACTATTCTCATTCAGGGTTATCTCTATACAAAGCTTCAATTCAAACATCAAAAATCAGTTTTCATGATGTACTTGAGGAGAGTCACGACTAGAGTTCGATGATTGTAAAAAAAAAATACAACCAAGACTAGAACTAGAACTGTTAAATCATCAGATAAATACAACGTTTCTTAAATTTGTGTGGAGAAATTTTCATTTTTTCATATTTGTCATGGAGTACTATAGTATGCATGAATAATACGGTTTTGTGTCTTGAATCTCAATATATATTTAACATGTTCGTAGCTATCTGCCGTTTTAACGATTACAGTTCCATGTAATATTTTCGTAATCGAACCGAAACCACAGAACTCACGTCATAACATTTATTTAAAACCTGTCGTAAACATGCAGTTTCTCAGCAACAATAAACTATGAGACTGAATTGTTTGCAGAGTATTCAGAGCTCATTTGATTCCACATAATGCATATAGTCTCGACTTAAAAGCAATTGAACAGTTCAGAGGGCTTCCCTCGTAAGTAAACTTTCTCTCAGACAGACGTGAAAATGTTTTTGATGTTAAGAATAGAGAGAAAGAAAGGACTTTCGGCTGTTGATGAATAGTTCCTGTTGAAATGAATTGGAGCTAATCATTAATTGATTTTTTTTTAATTCAGATTTGTATCGGCATTGCACGAGATCGAGACGTACAAATTTATGTAATGATTTCAACACATGACATGTTGTTCCTTAATCATGACCATTTTACTGAATTTTTTCCTTTCAGTAAGTTTTTTTACGGCAGAAGTGGAATTTTAAACTATCAGATCAGAAGTTTCGTCAATAAATACATCCAATTGAAACTATAATGTTATAAAAATTTCATCAAAAATGAATAAACTTACATATATCCAGTCAATTGGCCAAAAAAAAAGATAAAATACTTGAGTTCTCTGTAAACTCAATATCTCGACATAGACACATACATTCTCCTTGAAAGTCTCATAACATGATAGATTCAATTAGATTCAGTAGAATGATCATAGTTCAGGAGAAACATGCACAACTTAGCACATCTCATTGTCAGTTAGTGATGATAGAAACATCAATCCAGTAATGATGAATCACTTCCTGCGATTTCCTTATTAACGTAGTAGACTAAAAGTATTTAGAAAAAATTTCGCATCATACACGTAAGATTCAATCGTATAATCGATTGAAGCATCTATATCTATATGTGTTTCTACCAAGTTTTATTTAATTTTATTTTGAAATAGCATGCTAATCAGTAGATGATGTTTTCTCAATTGTTTAATCATATCGTGCTGGTAAAATATGTATACATCATTACTTAATTAAGTATGAAAATAAAGATATTTAATTTTTAGATAAATTTATGTTGAAATTTATTCTCTAGTTTATTACATATGATAATTTTCTTGGTCTCTGTCCATAGATCTTATTGTTGATCGAGTATGAAAAAAAATCAATAAGTTAATTTTTTATCTAAAATGCATCCTTTATGAAGAAATATTTAAATTAAAAAAAAACTGAATTTTGTTTTTTTCTAGATATTCCAGCCATCGCAAAATGAACTTTTTAAACGTATGAATTTTACATATGACGTTGAATGATTAAAATGAAATGAAATTGAAAATATTTGACTATCATTTAAGTATTCAGTAGAATAAATGCAGTGATTAGCATATTAAATAGAAGGGTAAGTACAAAAATCAAATATGTGTTATTATGTTATTCACTTGTTTTTGCTTTTCTTCTGATTTACCATGCAAACTGTGGGTGTATGCGATGACAAGACTTACATCCACCATAGTATCGATGGATGAGAAAATAAAAATAAGCATAGATTAGCAAAGGTTATATTTGCTGTGTTAGTATAATAACTGAATTTTTATTTTCTTCTTTTTTTCATCCCTTCTCTGAATTTCTATTTAATATTTTCTTAGATTTTTTTTACCTGATAAAATTTGCATTTTTTTTTGCTGATATTTATATGCAAAAAAACTGATTATTTAATATTTACATTGATCATTTACAAATTTTTTTATCGAGCGAAAATTAAGTTCGAAAAATTTTTTAAAGAATTTCATGAAGGTAGATAGAGTAAGTTTTTTTTTATTGTATTCTGTTAATTATCTGAAGAAACTTTTTCATACTTTTATTCTACCATATTCTGCAAAATCTAAACAGCTTGACGAAATTTTTCTTCCTTTGAACTATAGCCACAATAAGGGATAGAGGTCTGAGAATTGATGTGTCAATGCTTTCGCATAAATTTAGGTTAATGAAACTATAAAATTTATAACATCATAGATAAAAATAAAATATACAAAAAAAGAGTTTTTCATCTATCAGTTTCTTTTTATTCAATAATCTGATATGTCGAAGTGATGCTGAGAATAAGAAATAATATTGATTAACATATAGACACCTGGGATTTTTACCACTCAAGAAAGAAGACCGAGGTCATATATGTATCTCGCAACTTGATTAGTCAACAAATGGCCAATCAGGTGAATATTCTGAAGAGCTGTTTATAAAGATATTCTAAAGCAATTTTTCATTAGATTTTGTCATGAAAAATGACTAGTGGATAAGAAGAATTCTTCTTTTTCGTTCTACTCAAGCTTTAACTATTTACCATGTTCCGTTCAAGAGTTACAAAAGTTTTCTTGAGATGTCCGATTTCAATAAATCGACCTTGAAAAATTCTAATAGAGCTCAAGATAGTGGTAAGTTATGATACTGAGCCAAATAGTGATGTTTGTTTCAAGCTTCAATGCGACAGGAGACTGCTTTTTCAAGTTTTTCTAAAATTTCAATTTTTATGTTGTCTAGAGAAATTCTTGAAATTTGAAAAATACTAAAATAGTGGTGTAAGGTAGCTTTGAAGCTGATAAAAAACATCACCAGCCAACTCAGCATGATGAATTACCTCTGTCTTCAACGCTTTTGAAGGGTTCCCAGGTCAATTTCTTGAAATCGGTGGTGCCACGATGTCCCTTGTAACTCTTAAACACAACATGTTAGAAACTTGTGTTTGTATAGAACAAAAGAGAAGAATTTTTCCTATCGATGGATCATATTAAAAGTCAAAGTCCGATGGAAAATGGCTTTCTGACATCTTTTTTAAAATAACTCTCGAAAACTCATCTGATTGATCAATTTTTAACTAATCAAATTTAGACATTCATAGATGGCATTGAATCTTCTCTCTTGTATGGCGATAACTCCAGATCTTGATGTTGCTCCGATTAAAAGCAAAGAAAAAAATAGGCTGATACTTTGCTTTTTGAAAGCAACAATACGTATTCGTCTACTTAGCTATCATGGAAAAGAATTTGTCTTTATTTCATGTTTAGTTTTGGAAATAACGAATTCATTAGATAGACATAATATTTATATTTACTCTATAAATTATAGCTAAATATAACATTCGTACTAGTCTTAATAAAATTTTAGTTAATCGTATGAGTATGATAAATTATAAAGACTGATCGAAACGCTTTCAGGAAAAAAACATATTTTATTTGTTTAGTGAACATATAGAACATTTTCACATGACAGTATGGTCTTGATCTTGATCGTTTTTGTCTCTTGGTGAACAAATCATCATCATATTCATTATACATGTTCTTATTCACGATTTATTGATCGATATAAATTGTAGATAAGTTTCTTTTTCCATATATTTGTATTCAATAAATATATGAATTCTAATAATACAATATATTGTTTTGTTTTAAAAATAAAAACAAAATCCTCTAACTCTAGATGGATTCAAATATTGATAAAGAACAGACTTCGATAGAATTCGAAGAAAAAGATGATGATGAATCAAAAATAGCTGATATACAAATAAATCCTGTGACAATCATGACTTCAGTACCACAGTTTGAACCTGTTGATGATAGTCAGGAAACTTCTCTTGAAACAATAAATCCTGATGTATCAAAAAATCAATTATCAGAAGATGTTCTAACATTACCATTAAATCCTGATATATCATCACCGAATCTTTTTGTATCATCATTAAATCAAATTGATCATCAAAAATCTTCAAATTTTTCTATCGATAATCGATCGATTGCTGCTTGGGTTGAATCAACAACAACAGAAACAATACCAGCTATACTTGAACGATCACCATCACTTCCGTCAACATTAATTGAACCAATAGTAACACGTAGTCGTGGAAATTCAACTGTATCAACAATATGTGATCAACTACAATCAGTTAATTCGGAAACACTGACTGCACATCAAGTCTCTTTTTCAAATGATTTGCAACGTAGTTTATCAATGCCAGTAAATGATCAATATTATCGTAATGATGATGATGAATTAATTATTTCAGCGAATGAACAAGAAACAGAAGATATGTCAACAAAATTTCTTCCTGTACCTGATTCAGAAGAGTCAGAAGTTGAAAAAAAAACAAAACAATTATCACCACAGAAAGAAGAACAAATTAAATTTCAAGGTCGATCACCAACAACTCAACAAAAGCCAAAAAAATCACCTAGTGTGTCTTTTCATGCATCTGTTTCATTTGAAACCAATCATAAACCAGTAGTACCACCACATCGACGACGACGTATTTCATGGAATACAAGTAAAACTAAAACACCTTTATTTCTACGTTCACAATCTTCCATGGTAAATTCACAACCACCATCATTACATTCTCAAATTCTTCGTAAACAATTTAAAACATCTCTTTCAATGCCTAATGGTGCTTATCATGTTTCTGACGATACAACAAGACAATCATCATGCATATCTGATAATGTTTTCTATTCAACATCTCATACACATTCATCTTCAATACACAGTCATTCGAATTGTTCTCCAGATATGCATTTCACAGCTCTTCCATCATCTAATTCTTATCGTTCATCAGATCGAAGTGGTATTGCATCAACAAATTTAGATACACCTTCATCTGATCATCCTCGAACAATAAGTACAAATGATAATCAAACAACCGATGGAAAGAATATACATCATCAACATCGACGAAATCATCCAACATCAACAACATCATCTGGAACACCAAGTACAGAAAGTTTATCATCATCAAGTGATGGTGGAATTCATTTTTTTACTAAGAAAATGGAAGCTTTACAAGTTGATAAAGGTACAGGAAAAGGTCCCATTGATAAAAAACGAGATGTTTTAAAAAAGCTAATGTGGTTACTTGAAAAAAGACCAACAATTAACCCTCAATCTACTTCTGGATGTCGAAAATCATTTAGTCCACCAAAACAGCAACATCAAAAATCAACACCAAAACCATTTATTGAAGTAATTTAAACATAAATTTAAAGGTACTTGTAAAAAATTACGGACACTAAGTCTTGATTGTGCTTTTAAAATGTTTCATTTGAAATGCTTGTTTCGAATGGACACGAACATCCGTAGATATCATTTCTGTAAGATACTTTTCTGCTATGACTGAATATACGTTTGTGCTTGAATACGCATACTCGTAGTAAAGTTTACAATTACGCGATAAGGTATTTTGAGATTTGATGAACAATGATCAGTTCTCAAATCAAGTCTTGATAGTACTTTCGATAAGTCATAAAATACTCTCATAAATGCTTTACTTTGTAATGTATCAAAAAAAAAAAAGAATTATTTAGAAAAAGATTTTGCGAACAATGTTTCAGATGAGTTCGAAGTTCGAGAATATCGTAGTAAAAAAATCTGTTCGTACATTACATATTAAAAAAGCATGAAATCATGAATAACATGGGGGAGAGGTTGAAATTTTCACCATATTTTCTTGTCAAGTGACATGAATTCCAGAAATGACTGCGGGAGGAAAATCAAGATCTCTTTTAAATTTTGATCAAAGGTTTTTGTCTCAAGAAACCTTGACAGAGAGATCAAGTATACAATTCTGAGATACTGCATTATAGACTTAAATTTCTCAACTCCGAGAATATTTGATCAAATTTATTTTTGCGTATTTTAATCTCACAGGGCTTGAATTAATAGTTTTTTCAGATTTTCTTCAGCAAGTTTCTTTCTCATTCACAAATCTAAATAATTATGAGTATTCAAATTCAACTGTAAACACATGTTCATTTGCTATACCATGAAGCTTTTGTAGTGTTTGTGAGTGTCCGCAGTTTTTACAGGTATTTCAAAATCATTAAAAATCAATTTTAAATAATATTCAATTTTCTATAGTCTTGTTCAACATTACATTCGAATAATGTACCTAATCTTACATCACGTACTGAACCTGATAATATATCAAAAACTTCTACAAATACTTATTCAAGTTCAAATGAATATTCTAATACACATACTTCAATAGTATCTTCACAACCGTCAAATAATGATTCTATGACTCATACTTATTCATCTACACGTAATGTTCATTCAGATTCAAGTGCAACTGCTACATTTATAAATACAAAATCTGTAACAAAAAATTTATCAAATACAACAACACCAATTTCATCTTCAGTTCATCTTCATCGAAAACGTATACCACATCGTCGTAATCTTAGTGGATTTGCAGCTGTTACACGTGATCGTAGAAATTCATTTGGTAAATCAGAACAAGGAGCTATTTCACAAGCATCACAACAAGAACAAGAACAAACATCACCATTGAATCGTAATACAGAAGCTATTCTTAATGAACATTTAACAATGATTAATGAATTACTTTCAAATTATTCATATAATACTGGTTTACAATATTCATCACAAAATTCATCTATTCGTGATTATCTTTATACACGTTTACATGAATTTTCACAAAAAAATCCAATGACTGAACGATGTTCAAAAGTTGAAATAAAATCTTTTATTGATTTAATAAGTAGTTTTCAAACGAATCGAGCACATCATTATGAATTTTTAAGTGATAGCGTTAAAGATTTATTAAGATCAAATAATGATGGAATATATTCTTCAAATATATATGATGAAAGTGAAGATGATATAATTAAGGGTATGTTCTAAAACAAAACCAAAAATTAAAAGAATAAAATATTATATCATGCATAAGCAAATCAAATTTACTATTATTTAGATAAGACAGAAGAATTGATAGTCAACATAGATGGTTAATGTTTTGAAAGAGCTGATCAAAGACGATCATTTTCAGTTATATTTCGCCTTAGCTAACAATGCATTTGACTTATTATCAATTCGAATAGTTAATCAACAGTTTTTGCTTTTCAGAATTTCTCAAGAATGACTCATCAGAACAATTTGAAGTTTTTAGCGTTTCTTCGACATACTATGATCAATCGAGCTGAAATTTTGTTCTGTATATTTTTTAAGATTTATCAAAAATCATCAGAATAATATATATTAACAAAAAAAAAACCATCCCTATCCCAGACAATGTATACTCTATGTAAAAAAAACAAGTTTCAGCTCGATGTGACATACTAGACCAAAGAACGCAGGGTATTTCTTCCCCTTATTTTCATGCGAAATTTGGTTCGAGAAAAACGTAATTCATTATTTCTGTTACGCAAATTTAATTTTATAACTTTGAAATACAATTTTGTACTTATGTTAGTAAATAGATACTACTTCAAAATCTCCAATAGGTACAAAAAAAATTGAGTTAGAAAGGGAATAACCTGAAGCTATTTTTATTGATTCAAGCAGATGATTTCAAAACATACGCGACATTTTTAATAAGAGTACTATAGCTTGCTCTTAAGGAGTTTTATCGAACAAAAATAGTCGTATTAAGAGAGTTGCTTCTTGTAAATCAACAAGAATCGATTGTTTCAGTGCTTTGAACGCATCTGACCGCAGTCGAACCGCTTACAACTGTTTAATATAACATTGTTTTAATACCCAGCCACGATTACGATAAATGACTGAGTAAAATCAATCTCTATCTATCGATGCTCCATTGGTAAAAATTCGATCTACTGAGAATACAAGTCGTCAGTCAATACAAAAAAAGCATTTCAATCAGATTTCTATGCTTCAACACTTATATATTCATTATTATGAGCCATGAATTTACTAGACTACTATTAAACTCGAATTTTCAACGAGAAGTGTTAGCTAATCGCCTAAGCCGCCACTGTGGCACAAAAATAGATATTTGGTTTTTGAAAATTTTCTACGTTCAAGATTATTTTTTGGAGACATTTTTCTCTAGTTTCGGAATAAGTCATTTCATTAAATCAACAGTCATGAGCGTGCGATGATTTGAAAAAAAGAAAAAGATACTGACGATGGAACCTCACCATGCGATAAATTTTTTTTAGAATGAATCTCAGATTGTTAAGGAGGTCCTATCGAGGCTAGAGAATGTTTAAAAGAATTTGTTGCTTTGAGCCTTTCTTCTTGATTTGACGCTGTTTTAATAATTACTTCAACTCAATATCATTATTTCCCTCAAATCAGCTAATAAATCAATTTCGAGTTCAAATTCTGTACAAATAAAATTCTGAATGGATTTAGTTCATTGTGAAAGCATGTAGGATTTCCTATTCTTCGATGACAATATTTAAAATTTTTTCTACGATAAAACAAGAACTATTCTTAGAGTTATGTTTCAGAGTACTTAAGAACTTTATCTATGCAAAGTTTGAACTCGAAAACCAATATGGAACATGATCCGAGATGAATCATGACATTTTCTGGAAAAAAATCATCAAAAATAGTTATAACTCAAAAAAAAAGATAGACTGATTGCAACAAATCGTTTGAAACATTCTTTAGTGTATACACCAGCTATAACATGACTCTGGACAAATAATTGACGACAGTTTGTGTTGGATCATCCATCCGATAGCATGATGAATAAGTTTTAACATACACCTGTTCTCGCTACAAATAATATTAGTTGTCGGACTCAAATAGAAAATATTAATAATATCCAATAACAATTATAGTTTCTTATTTAGATGGTCATATGGCTAGTAATGAATCATCAAACACATCATCACCACCATTCACACGTTATACAAGCACTGAATCAAAATATGATGTTAATGATGATGATATATCATATAAAGATCATCCATTACGTTTTTTTCGTACATTAACACAAGATTATATTACTGATTGTGAACGAACTGAAAATGATTTAAAAGAAATATTTGATTTAGCTGATCAACAACATATACTTTATTGTTTAAAACATGTTGATAGTGGTTATACAAATGATGCATTAGCAGTATTTCATCGTCATCTTGATGCACTTTTTGTTTGGTATAATCTATATTATGAATTAACAATATCAGTTAAAAAAATCAGTGGTCTATTACGTTGTGATGATTGTGATGATTGGCCAAAGTTACGTTTTCGTTCTATAGCAACAAATCGTGAACGAAAAGCTAAACGAGCAGCTAAAACTGATGTTCATTATTATTCATCAAGTGATGAAGATGAATATGATGATGATCATGAGGATGATGATGAAATAGAAATAGCAGAAGAAAGTGAAGTAGAAGATGAAGCTGAAAATGGTGATGATAGTGATATTCTACCAAAAGTATGTTTAAAACAAATAGTTTTATATTATGTTTTGTTCTTGAATACAGGGTGTGAGTGTTACTTGTTCTCTTCGTCTCACATCTACAACTGAAATATAAATTAACTGTTTTTACTTTTTCGAAGTTTGTTTTTAGCATAACTAAGCATGTAATACACTTGCTCTCGAAATCGAGATTAGTTCAAGAGGATCGGATGAGGAAATCTCTTCGACTGTCAAATCGTTTTTCAATCGAGACGATGTTCATTTACTGAATTTTTCAAGAAAAAGCTGTGATCTTCGTCAGGTCAGATGAAACATTGACTCTCGAATTTTGACTTTAAAATTATATATGAACAAAACTCTTAATGAGATTAGTTCATTAGGTAAATTGCAACTTTTCTACTATCTCCGTTTGCGAGATATTGAATATTGGAAACTCTCTCATGTTAAGAAGTAAATTTTGTCCATATAGTTACAACTTCAGAAAGAAAATACTAGAAACGCTAAAATTCTTCCAATGAATTAATCTTCTTGAGAACTTTGTTCATGCAAAGTATGAAGTTAAAAATCGATCCGAACTACCAAATCGTTATTGACTTTTGTGGTACTCTTGAGTACTCATTAAATAAACACCATCTGAAGAGTTTCTCTTTTGAGATCGGACACTAACATATACATCAAATATGTCAACGATCAAAAACATGAATACTCGAGAAAACAAAGCTTCTTCATAATCGAACTTACTTGAGAAGTTAAAATAATTTAAATATCCAACTTTTGTTTTTAGACTCGTTGGCCTGAAGAACCACTTGATTATTTCTCTCGTCTTAAAAGTAATTAAATTTGTATTATATTCAATTATTTTATCTAATTTATTTTGTTTTAAATAATTTTAGTTTCTGATGAATCAAATCCAAATGAAACAAGTCCAAAAATCAAAAAGCTAAGTCGTATTGGTTGTTATCGGTAAAATCCTGTTTTTTTTTTTTACTTTCTTGTTTATTATAATAATTCTTTTTATTTGCTTAGAAATTTTGTTTATTATATGGATAAACGTTCTTATCAAGTTAAATATGATGGTTTAGCAAGAACATTAATCGAACGTGTTGCACCAGTTCTTGTTAAAACTCGTTTTGCTTTATTACAAGCTAATGATAGACGTAAATTAAAAGCTGAACAAGTTCTTACTGGTTTATTATTATGTGATTGTCAATTATCAAATATCAATAAATTAGAAAGTAAAACAAATGCTAATAATGATGAAACTGAAGATAAACTTGTTGATACAGATAATCCTGTTGATGAAGATTCAACAATAAATTTAAATATTGGAGAAATGACTATTGAAAAATGGCTTTTTCATGTATTAAAATCATGTCCAACACTTAAAACAATATGTTCATATACAGAAGATATATTAAAACATAATTGGCTTGAATTACATCAACAATTAGGTTTACCATCATTATTACCATTATATTTTTTTATTCTTAATGTTTTACTTGATGTTATGAATGAATGTTTAATACTTTATAATAAACCTTATATGAATAATGATACAATTGAAATCGATTCTCTTTGTCGACAACAAGTAAAAAAAGAAAAAAGAACAACAATGGAATTTTCATTGTTTTTATTTATTAATTCTTTTTTTATTTTAGCTTGTTCGTGAAGCAAAACTTGTTTTAAGGTTCGTTAAAAGATATAAGTTTTCAATTAGATCTCTTTTTTTTTGTGATTTAATAGAGATGCATTAGCTACTCGTTTATATAGTGTACGTATGATGGAACAATTTATTTCTCATCGTCAAATAGTTAATGAACTTGCAGTATTTGATGAAAATACGATTAAACTTTATACGGTTTGTTTTAGAATTTTTTTTTTGTTTCATTTATGATTATTTTTTGTTTGTTTGTTGTATTTTAGCATTATAAACAATTTTTAAATACAGTTTGTATTAATCGATCATTTGGTACACATGATGAAGATACTATGATTATGAGTAATTACGGAAATACTGATTTATATTATTATGTTGATGAAGAAACATCTGAATTAATTAAAGAATATTATTTTTCTCGAGATTTAACAGTAACATTAGGAAATCGTAATGAAATTCGTGATTTATGTATTGAATTTAGGTAAGATAGTGAAAAAAAAATTTTTTTGATGTTGAATGTTATTGTTTCTTTTTTTTTTTCATCTAAATACTTTTAGTGCATTAACACAACGAATATTAACACAATTAAAAGAAGAGTTAAATGGTAAAACTGAAAAATATTATCAAGCATTTGCTATTGATATGAGTAATACATCAAATATCAGTGATGGAACTTATTCAGCTGAGTAAGAAGAATAAATAATATTCTATTTTTAAGTTTATGAATTAGAGAAAATCTTTTCATAAAGTTAGTAAATTTTCCTCTTGATACCTACATAGTCATTAATCGATAATACTAGTGTAAAGATAGTCCTCACTTACTTCTATTAACTCGATTGTGAACTATTTCATGTTAAGACAAATAAAAGGAAACTCATTGTAGTGTATAGAAATCAGTGAACTATTTCTATTGAGTTGCTTTGAAATAATTCAAACATCACGACTATAGTTTTCAGACTATATCTATTGAATAATGGCTCTAAAAAATGAAAGCGTTAAAGAGTTACAAACATCTGCATGATTATCCAGACAATGCTTTACTAGGAACAGAAAGTTTGCTTATATCAATAACAGTTTGACATAAAGAGTCCGTTTATTTTATCATTAACAACGGAATACTCATAGTCTAAATTAACAAGAAAAGTATACAAATATGAAGTAATATTCATGATCTTAGGAAAAGTTCTGTAATCGTAAACGACTGGTAAAAAAAAATGTTATCATAGCTTTTCAAATTATGCCTTGTCTTTTATGGCTGAAAATTTTTGATTATGTATAATAAAATGACATGAGCATGCGATAAAAATTTGAGAGCGTAAAAGAAAATTTTGAAGAAAAAATCGAAAAAAAAATTGATACGTCTTTCAGAGGTGTGCATTGCCCATGCAGTTATCAATGGTGCTGTTGAACTATAATGCTGGAACATCGCTGACTAACTTGTTCTGTATAAGATACCATTCATTTCATTAGATTATAATTGCATTCATGTGTTAATGCTATAAATGAAATTGTAACTGATTCTAGCTAAAAAAAATTCTGATAGCAACTATAAGATTTTGATTACAGAATGAGATATATGTAGAGTCGTAGAGAAAGGCTTCCTCTGTCTAAGGATATATATTATTGGCGATGACCACCTTCGCCACTATTGTAGGGCTTATAATCACTTTTTGCTCACTTTTTACGCACGATTCACATTTCTGATAGCCTTTATTTTCGATCAGAAGAATAAATAATTATGATCCGTTTTTGCATTTGATGAGCATATTTCAAAAAATGATTTCCAACATTTGCTCAAGGAATTATGAACAGTATACACTCTTTTATCAATTACAAAAGAATTAGCTAATTTAACTAAATTATTATTATGATTGTTTGATTAAATAATTTCTTAATTATTTTATATTTAAACTTGTATAAAGTATAATACAAAAGTTTAAATTCTTAGTACTTTGTAAATCACTTATAAACTAGACTAATTTATTTCTTTTTATCTATAAATTATCATATTTATTATATTTCATAGTGTAATCTGTGAAACAATCAAAGTACCATCGTTTGTTACATCAAGTAGTGTTCCACCTGATTTATATCGTAGTGAAACATTACTATCTGATTCAACAACATCATTTTCTGATCAAAAGAAGTAATTAAAACAAAATTGAATAACTATTTCATTTTGTTGGTTACTTGAATCTTTTCATCATATCTAGAAATGATATTATTTCCAGTACACGTGAATTTCGTCGAGATTTTGATACTATTAAACAACGTGCAACACGTGTTTGTCATTTAGCTAAAACTCTTATTGTTGTAAGTTTTATTGATAAATTTTTTACTATTAGTGTAATTGTTATCATTCTTAATTTTTATCTGATAGAAAATAGAATTCGAATTTATTATTTCTTTTTTGCTAAGGATTTTACAATTGCAGCTGAATTTAAATGTGTTAATCATCATGATGTTTGGCAACGACTTCTACAATATTCTTATACTCAAATTAAGATTTATTTGAATAGAAGTGTAAGAATAGCTATAATTTTACATAGAAAGAAAAAACATATTCTCGTTTAAAATTAGGATGTCGATGATTTTGATAATTTTTATGTATTCGTTCCGCCTTGGTTATCAACAGATAAAGACCAAGTTGAAAAATTGTTAAGCATTATATGTTCTCAACAAATTTCACCAGATGAACCTTGTAAAGCACCTAAAGAAACGCCTCCTCCATTCTATATGATCTTTTTACCTAAGAAAAGTTTTTCTCGACAAAGTTCTCCATGGACTGGAGATATTTTACCTATTCAACCAAGTGAAAGTACAAAATTAGCATTAAATTCTATTGAACTTTGTTCATTACATTTGGTTGTTAATCGATTTGATCATTGGCAAAAGGCTGTTGATTTATTTCATATACATGCTGGATTAACTAATATTCAACTAATTAGAAAATTACCTCGTGATGAAGATATTCGTTTAACATTTGATCAATTACCTGTATGTATTTTTTGTTTTTGAATTAACAATTAATATATTTTTCTTTTCATAGGAACATATTGAAAAATTATGTACTACATTAACTAATCTTGTTCGTACATTAAATACAATTTGGGATCAAGATTCAACGAAAATATATCTTACAGAAATTGTTAAATTTGATGAACATACCATTGAATCAAAATTAGTTGATCTTGTTTTATATATATATAATTCTGGTTTTGATCTTTTTCGTGTTTTATGTGAACTTATATTAACAATATCAACAGAAAATGATGCAACATTTGAAAAATTTGTTAGTACAATGAATGAATTTTTTTGTGCATGGTGTAAATGTGTTACAAAAAAATTTAAATATACATCATTACAACAAACACGAACAGATAAATATAAAGTTTTCCGGTAAAAAAAAAAAATAAAATAAAAGAAATTTTTTAATTTAACAATTTATCAATAAATATTATAATTATAAATTTCAGACCAAAATGGCTTTCACCAGGAATGGGTTTTCTACGTTTTTTAGCAAAATCCAATCATTTGGAATTACTTTCCGATGATGATTATAAAAAATTAACTAAAGAAATGCCAGCTGCTCTTGATGTTTTATATGGAAATGTGAAGATTAATTATGATTTACTAACGACAAAAGGTAAATTTCTATGTGAATTTTATCATTCAGAGAACTCTCTATATCTTTCTAAAAAGACATTAGTCTCCTAAATGAACGTCACTTTCAAAAAGTGCATGCTGGTAAGGAAAATTAATAAAAGCTGTTCTTTATTTGAATATATTTGATTGCTTGACATATAATTCAATTTGTTTTATTGACATTTTAGTACATAGATTTTTATAATGTTTGTTTGTTTTTTAGTTCGTTCAAATAGTTTTTCATCAACATCACCAAATTTAAGTCGATCACGTCATTCTTCACAAACAAGTAAGAATAAAATATCTGTACTTTTCAAAAAAAAAAAAATATTTTCTAATCAATACATATTCCTTATAGGTGGACATCGTAGAATTGAAAGTTTCACGACACCTCATGAACGTATTGTAGACAAAATAAAAAATCTTGAAAATAATTTAGAAAAAAGCCTTCGTGAACGTAAACAAATTGGTCAAATATATAATAGTACAACAACAATGAATGGTATCATTCCAGATCCTGTTATATCCTTAAAAATGCGTAATATTGATTTTCCATGGCGTCGTGGTACACGTATTGGACAAGGTGGTGCTGGTGTAGCGTTTCGTGCAATAAATTGTTCAAATGGTTCGATTGTATGTATGAAAGAAATACAATTATCATCAATAACATCACGTTCATTACCAAATACATATCCTGGAAAACTTCGACGTATTGCAGAAGAAATTGATATGATTATGTCAATTAATCATCCAAATATTGTACGATATTTTGGCATAGAAAAATATAGAGTAAATGAATAAAACAAAAAAAAAGAAAGAAAGAATTTCTTTTTTTTCTTTGTTTTTTTGATCATTGATTTCTTATTATTATTTTTTTTTAGAGAACAATTTATATTTGTATGGAATATTGTTTATCAACAGTAAATGAATTTCTTAATGATATTCGGTCATTTCAAAAACGTGCACATACAAAAAGAAAAAATGATATTTTATGGAATGATTCAAGTGATCAAGATGAAGATTTGAGTACGGGAAATATTCGTTTAAATTCTTCACTTGATGTTAATGAACATGTACGTGGATTTGTTAATCAACTTTTAAAAGCTTTAATGGTTTTACATGAACATTCCATTGTACATTGTGATGTTAAAGGTGATAATATTTTTATTGCTAATGAAAATGGAAATTATATTGTTAAATTAGGTGTATGTTCAATTGATATTAATTAAAGTATTATTTAAAAAAACAAAAAAAAATTTTATTTTAGGATTTTAATTTATCACATCGACTTGAACTTGAATCACCATCATCAGATGGTAGTAATTCACGTAGTACACAAAAAGGAACTATATGTAAGTTATAAAGGAAAGATTTCATTTTCTAGACACTTTATTGATTTATAATTGTTAAAATAATTGATTTGATTTTAATTAAAAAACGAATTTTAAAGTTTGTAGAATATTATATATTTAGGTTAAATCTATTCAACAAGCTTCTTATCTACGTAAAATGAGATTTTTGGTTACTATTGTTAAGAAAGATTATGCCAACTGATCATATACCATTTGAGATATTTATATAAGTACTTGAAGTTCATTTAAATCTATGCCGTACAGAATCATATCTAGTTATTCATACTAACTAACACCAGTATTGGAATAGTAGTAGGATCAGTGTACAATAGATATCTATAAAATGGTAACAATTAGTAATCTGCTACGTTAAACAATCACAAAGAGATCTTTTTTAAACTATAATGTATGATTTTTTTTTCTTCTACTAGATTTTAAACCGCCGGAACCCGAATATGTTTATAAATCTGATATATGGGCACTTGGTTGTACCGTAATAGAGATGTTAACTGGCAAAGTAAATTTTCTGAATAGAAGATTTTTATCTGTGTTTAATAATTTTAGTTACCATGGACAAATGTAACACGTCCACCTGAAGATCAAATCTATATACAAAATCAATTATTAGCAAAAAAAGGACCACCGATTCCAGACGAATTAAAAAATCAAAAACAAGCATATGAGTTTATTGAATTATGTTTGAAACCTGATCTTGAAGAACGTCCATCAGCTAGAGATTTACTTATTCATCCGTATCCTCGTGTTCGAACTGGTAAAATTTTTATTTTCTATTTTATCTTTATCTTTATCTTTTTTTCTTATTATCATTAGACTCGTAAAACTCGAACTTATCACTATACATACATACGTATACAAGAAAACAATAATTTGTGAACTTTCAAGTCAGATTATATATTGTAATATTGCTTTATTGAATATATCGTGAATAGAACACAGGAGTTTTGATAAATACGTATAATGCTTAAATTCTTTGTACGGTGTGATTTATGTGTGACAATTTTCATTTATTTATTGTTTTTTTTTTAATTTTGAAATATTAATTTTAAAGTAGTCTTTTAAATAAATGTTTTACTCATATGAAACCAGCAACGCGATACATTAACATAGTAAGAATAATAATTAAAAATTTCTATTCAGTAACTTAGATAAAAACGAAGAAAACAAGGAAAGAATTTTAAATTTTCTATAACTAACAGATATGAACATTGAACTTTCAATCAATAATAATCTGTATTATTAGCAAAAGAAAACGTGTGAATTAGATTTTAATATTTGTACATTGTAGCGGAAAACTTATAAATCTTTATTGAATTCCTACAGAACAAGCATGAGAGACATTAGACAACGAAACATTTTGAAAATAAAACAGAAATGAACGTACAGGATACAGAATTCGAAAAAAGTTTGTCCCATAAGACTTTAACCTTTACTCATCGGACGCGATCTCTTTGTGCTGCTTAGTATATTGCCAAATTCTCATAGTATATCATAATCAAAGGTGTATAATGTCGAACGCTTAATAGAATGAAACAACGTACTATGCAGATTCTTATGACCATTCAATTGTGTCATGTGTTTCTCACAATCTTCATCAATCATCACTTTAATAAACAGAAAAAAAAAGCTATAGAAAACAAATAAATACATATATATTCACATTAATCGATAGACATTATGGTAATATTGTGTTTTATACTTCGTTCTACAAGTCAAGCACAGCGAATACGAAGACATTTAAGTTACTTGATATTGTGCTATTCTTTCTGTTTTTCTCTACGTAAAAAAGACGTTATTTATCATTCGGATCAACATATACAATGATGATCAACTATATAAATGAGATTAGAATTAATTTCAATTGAGTAGTGGAACATTTCATTTATCATATCAAGGAAATTAGAAATGAAATCGAAGTCAATATAATTTTATTTCCATGTGAAAGATTGAGCAAATTCGAACAATAAGATTTCAAATAACTGTATATAAAAAAGTGCTATGAAAAAAAGACATATTCTATAAATGACAAAAAAAAATATTGTATATGTAGGTAACTAATTAATTTATATTTTATTTAAAAAGGAAAGTTTCTTATTACACATGCCTTTTTTCCAAGTTTTTCCCACTTGCTTTTTTCCCACTATTTCTAATAAGTATACAGTCTCCTCACAGGAGTGGTGAAAATGAAACAATTACTAAGCTTGACGAATTTGCATGTATTAGTAAACGTCCATCATTAGGCATATCTCGCGTATCCAGCAGCACGTGCAAATTTGGTTTTTTTCACCTGTGGTAATGTTCTCAAATCATACTTATTATTCATCAATCTACATATATATATATATATATATTGGCGCATTGATTCCAATAAACAGTATGTGTATATCAGATACAACTACTTTTAGCTATTAATCGATAGAAGGAGCGATTTTTTACTATTGCAATAGCTTCATCAAACATTAAATAGCCAAGCAAACATTAATAGTAAGTGTACGGTTTCTTATTAAGAAGATGGCAGTCTTCCCTCTAAACATATACTCAGCCTTTGTCACTATGTAGAGAATATCTTCAATATTATGCATATGCAATAAAAAGAGTTAGGGAACTCTCGACTAAGTTACTCATTAATTAAGTTTAAAATGAATTGAGTATTCCAGATGGAAAACCATTTTTTAAAGTTTCTACTCTTTCGTATGTATGTGGTATTTAGTTGATTCTGGTGTAATTTTGTAAGCATAATTTTATAGAAAAAAATATAAAAGGTGACTTTTTTCTGTGACGCTTGATTGTTGATAAGTCACAAAACGAACGAGATAGTTAACTAGATTAATACAAATGAAAAAAATAATAACACGGATAAGAAGTCAGAAGAATAACGATGAATACATGTCAACGTATGTATAAATGGCTGGATCATTTAAATCAACTTTTATCGACTTGGAATAGTTTCTCAGGATGTTAATGAGATAATAATCAAAATTAAGTATAATCAGAGTATTCGATACACTATATGCTTTTAAATAGATCACGACTCATACAAAATAAAAATACATTGTCAACAGAGGTCAAGGAAAAAGCTCACCAAAGTGTGATTTTTTTATTTCAATCTTTCCATAATGAATTTATAGTTTTCTTCGCTTACCTAAGTGAAATATGTTCTATTGAATACGTTTGGCAAATATTATTTGACTCGTCGAACAAAGTTACTTTGCATATGATTTGTCGAAAATATCATATAATGCGTCATATGTGGATACAATTCTTAATCAGTAGAAAAGCAATGTACTAAAGAAAATGAATAGGTAGTTAAGTTTCAATCGTTCTTGCTCGGTAAATATCACGTGTCTTTTTGTTTATGAAATGCTTCAGAAGTGTAGCTACTTTTTCGTTATATTATAGTTGAGCTTATTTTTTTTTTCTTTTAACAATATTAAACACTAATATATAATAGTCTAGGTTTATTTTTATCACTTTGCAATTATATAATCTTCCACAATTTGGTATTTCTATACGATAAGCACGGTCTTTATCCACATACATGTAGAAATATCTATAACTTTCGTCCTAACTAAGTAATAGAATATATGTTTTTTTTTAAGGACATCATTAAAAGATAAGATATTCTCATGAAGATGCGAACAATATCAACAATTGCGGCAGTTTTTTTATTAACTCTAGGTATGTGTTTGTTGTTTATGACATTATCGTTTGTCACATATAATCAAACGATCTTCTCTTTTATATTATAGTCTGCAGTATAAATGCTCAAAAATCAATTACCTGGGCAGGATATCAATGGTTCCTGCGTGACGATCAAAATAGTGGACCCGGTAACTATAGACTTAACCAATGTAGCATAAAAACATTCTTATTTGTTTCTTTTTATCAAAGGTCCAAACAACTGGAATTCAAATAATGTTTGGGTCGATGACAATGGTAAACTTCATTTGAAACTTAGTTATTCAGGTAGAAAAGGTGGATGGACATGTGCTGAATTATATACCAATGTAAAATTTGGTTTTGGCACTTTTCGATGGTTTGTAGAAGGAGCCATTGATAAATTTGACCCTAGGGTAGTGTTGGGTCTGTTTACTTATGGAGGTGTTGATGGTACGAATGAAATTGATATTGAAGTAGCTAAATGGGGTCGAACAGAATTAGTAGCATCGAATTATTTTTATACAGTCTATCCACATACATTGGGTATTGCTCAACCAGTATCTAATGGCACACGTATATCTTTGCAAGGAACTTACACGACTCATCAATTTACTTGGACCTCTGATAAGATTTCTTTCCTAGGTCAACATGGTTTTATGACTTCACCAACTGAAAATAGGTTTTATTCATACCAAACACCAACAGCATTTGCACCATCAATTCCTTATACTAGTGCTCCTCTGCATATGAACTTATGGCTCTTCCAAGGTAAACCACCAATGAATGGTCAAACGGTGGAAATAGTTATCATGACTTCAAGTATACCAAAGCATAGTGGTTTACTAGTGATACATATAGTTTAAATGACTGATTTCTAAAAAATATATCATTAATGTTTTCTCTTTCTATTTTTATTTTTCAATAAATCTCGAAACATTCATTCATAATAATCTATTCACTGTTTTTTAAAAATATTTTGAGTTTTGTTTGATATCTCGTTATTATATAAATATGATCGTCATTATTATCTCGTCAATGCACATTTCTGTCATGATGGACTAAATATAGTCTTAGCTCTTTTTCATGACTATTAGCTAAGCAAGAACTTACATTGAAAAGTTTCATACAGCTTTCACTGCTGACATAAAGTCGATTTTCTGTTATGACAGATAAAAATTGGGTTATTTTCCAGAATTATTTTTTCGAATTTATTTTCATTCTGAAAACACGATACTGCAACAATTTCCAATAAAGGATGAAGTTTTTTTTTTTTAATAATTGCAAAGGAGTAAATGATTATATGATAATGAAACTGCATGTGATGTCTATTTATTCAAACACCTACTATTTTTTATCGATTTACGTGTGGGAAAAGATTCAGTTCACTCGTCTCTGGAAGTTACTTCAAGTGTCTCACTCTGTAGTTTTGGTTCACGCTAACGACTAGATAAATCAGGCTTTGAATGCTTTTTATCTAGTATTTAGTTTGAATCGAGAATGTGAACAACACAACGGTATGCCAATAAAATATTGTTTGTCTTTTTTCGTGGATGGTGTATATATAGCAAGACGTTCACGAATATTTGATAATTAAATAATTTCAAGTTTCTGTTCGAAACCTTTGCATTCAATGACATCCGTGAATTGATATATTCTTTTGTCTATTTTCTCTTTCTTGCATGCATGAGCAATAATAAACTCTAAATAATGAATTATTTTTGTAAGTCACAATTAATTCTGAATAAGAACGACTGCATCACAATATCTTAATTCTTTTTTTTTGAAATAACTGCTGGTAATAGGCATACCATAATATTGATTCTTGTGTATATAAATTTGTTTATCACCATTTTTAATGAACAATTTCAATTCTTCGCTCAGAAAAGTCTATTAATTATGCGATATAGTAAAATGGACATCGAATTTCGTCAATTTTCATCAGGTTATTCTAAGCGTTAGAAATAAAGCTCTGTATTATACAGGGTGTCCCAGAAATAACCTACCAATAAGAAAATCTTTTATCTCCATTGTAGTCCACCCAATTGAGCTGGTTCTTTTCTGATGATAGAGAAGGCTACTAAGTTTTTATTTTCAAAGATAAAGTTTGCGAATGATGTTGAAAACCATTACTATCGTCTTCAATACCAAACTGAAGCCTTTTCCGATATGGTAAAACAATATACGACATTTTTTACTTAGCTACTTTAATTATTGTCGTAGTTTTCAAGTTTAAGCTAGACAAATCTTTCATTCTTGCTCTATAAATCTTCTTGTAAACATTTTTCGAAAAAAATAGTCCACGATACATTTCTACAAACAAATTTGTTTCCAGTACCATAAAAACATTGATAACTGCTTGACTACAAGAGATAAACGATTTCATAGTCTTCGCAGTCGTCGAGTTTTACGTTGTTACGCTTCTTTTTATTTAAAAGATCCGAACGAATATTTATAATGTAGATTTGTAGTTTATGTGAGTTCTGTTTATTGTGATGTCTCGATTATGATGACAAATTGAAAAAGAAGAAAAGAAGAGGAGACATAAAGAAGAACAGTTAGAGAACATGATAATGAATGTTCTATCTGACAACATAGTGTAGAACGAACACGAATATTTATATACAAGAATAGATTGGGAAAAATCCCTATATGCACTAAGATAACACAGTGGGAAAATTCCTACATGTCACGTTGGGAAAAATCCTATATACAAAAATGTGGATATTTCCAACACTTATGAATATTCTAAACTCACCATCTGAACATATAAAGCAAGAGTTGAAGATCTGGATGGTTCAAAATCAAAAATTACGAAAAAACTGAAATAACTACACAAAAAGCGTTATATGTTGTTTCGTCATACTAGAAAAGGCTTCAATTTTGATATTGAAGTCGATAGCAATGGTTTTCAGCATTATTCATAAACTTTATCTTTGCGAATAAAAACTTGGTAGTCAACTCTACCATTTAGAAAAAAGTCAGCTCAATTGGTTGAACTACAGTGGAGATAAACGATGATCTTTCTGTTAGGTTATTTCTGGGACACTCTGTATGTTTTTTCGAAGAAAGTAGTAATTGTAAGTTTTAAGTTAAAGTGTTGTGATTCGTCTGTCCTCATTGCCGATCTCAGCTACCAAGAGCAACATGAGTCAGATTCCTTTCCTACAGCCTCTTAGTGACGATAAAAAGGCTCTGAAAGCTTTAACAACAAGACTTAGATACTTCAAGATCTTTCTCGAAATTTGAACGACTAAAATACATTTGTGAATGTTCTAAATGGTGCAGTTTTGTGAAATACAATCTAAAACGAGTGTTGAAGTATAGGGCTCAAAATTTGCACTCGGCTCTCATATAGACATATTAGCAACGATTCACCACAGACGTAACAGACATCCTTAGCAACGTTTCTCTTTCATCACAGACCGTATATCAATAAAATCTTGGTATAGTATATGAACAATGTAGTAGTTCTTTATTGTATTTCTGTAAGATTAAGTAAACCTATATTGCAGAAATGCATCCCCAAATAGATTGAATAGAAAAATCTCTCTGTGATTAACAAGAGCAGTTACGTTGTGTTTCATATTTTAGTTTCGCAGGTATTAAGCGAACAGTTTTTTTTTGATTTTGTACATAGAATAATTTATATTTCAGATGTCAAAGATGATGGTCAGTATTGCATTGGTTTGATAGTATTCTGACATAGTCGACATAAAAAGAACGTGAATTAATCAAGTTATAACTCTAGAAAATGATTCACATCAGTATAGCTGAGCTTATCAAGATATATAAAAATGAAATGAGATCTGCTACAGATATAATGGATATGTACAACAGGGCTATTGATCAGTTAAGTCAATGGTTAGAATAATAATAATGTTGAATAAAGAAAAACGAAGTACGAGAATGAATAACAACAAGAAATAGAAAAAAATTCTGTTCGAAATACAGAAATAAATGAAACAGATTGTTTCCCCGAAGCTTGATTATACTAGAAAAACAATTATAATCTGCTAGAAATTTTTTCACTTAATGTATTTTGTATTGGTATACTAAGGCTAAAAAGTACATATTGATTCCACATTACAGCCCTAGAGAAGCTCTGCTAAGAAAGTTTTTTTGTATACTTTATTAACCATATTATTTTCCTTCATGAAAAAATGTCGGTTATCAGTATTTATTAATAAACAAATTCCTATGTACTTGAATTAACAACAAGTATTTGCATCAAGAAAAAACCATAGCTGTTCTTATATTAGAGTATAGTAATCTTATAATAAAATTTTTCAATTGTAAAGACTATCGAAATAATTTAAAACCTTTTAGAATAGAAACAAATTTACTTAAGAGAAGTATATACGATCGAAGTTTGTTACATCAGAGATGCAAAAATATTTATAGTCAGTAGTTGCTCATTAGTAGAGATTTTACAAATATATAGTTTTGTTTGGTAAGAAGAAAAAGTCATTCTTGTCTCTAATGTTTTTGCATTATGTCAACATAACCGAGTTCTTATAAATATATGGGGTCTTTGTTTTATTTATTTTTTAATCTATTTAATTACGATAATAAAATAGCTTTTAACATCAATTTTATAAATTGATGACTAAGTATTGCTAAGTAATGCAAGAAAATTGTAGATAGCTTAAACCTGTTAAGCCTATAATGGTTTGCCTAAACATCATCAGAATAACGGAAGAACATAAAAAAAAAAACATTAAGTTATTGCAAAGAAATGAATTCACAATTATAATTTGTTTGTTTTCGATTGAATCATTGAAGAATATATCTTACACGAAATTTTGAAATGTTACTCTGACTTTTAGTCATTAAGTCATTATCAAAGCTTTGAAGCCAAACGAAATGATTCATTTAGCAAAAGAATTTCAAATAATAGTTTGCAGCCTCTAATATGAATGACACAATCAGATTATATGAGAATGCAGCTGATATTTTATTTAAGAAACGTCTGACAATTAAGTGATGATATGAACAAAATAGAATTGTTTTAAAATTAACAAGCAGAAAAAAAGCACAATTCATTCTTTTAGTTCTAACTAACAGAGAAAATCTTGCTAGAAGATCAACAAGACTGGTTTTTATTTTCATCACAACCAAACAAATACAAAAACACATCAACTCATATTATTCAGTAAACTTATTTTCGTAATGAATCTTCTTTTTTTCTAATTGATGTATTCATTAATCAAGAAAAGACATTCATTCTTCTCTACTCATCAGAAAATGAAACTACAAGCTTTTTCATTTGAATCCGATTTGCGTCGTTTCTTCTATGTAATCACAGACAAGGAGGCTGTAAACTAACAAAAGAGGCTTATACTCATATAAATAGATAGAAGAGAGATGAATGTATGATAATATATTAGGTGGTATAAACAGTATATAATAGAAAAAAAGTGGAAGCAATCATCATTTGTCAATGCAAAATTGAAGAGCTGACATAGAGAAAATGCACCATTGATAAGAATAGTTATAGAAGTAAAATAAAGTAATAAAAAAATGAGAAAACTCCAGAGAATTTTAGAAAGTCCTACAAATTTTGAATCTTCTCTACTAAATCTCGAAGCTGAATGGCAATTTGATCTGAAATTAAATCTAAATATGACAGTAGATCCAACCAAAAAGCTAAAATTTTAGATTCGAATCAGATCAGGTACGGACCTAGATCTTGAGGTACCCACAGCACTTCGGTCAGCATCCAAAAAAGGAGAGATGCAATTTTTGTAGTCGGATATCCATAATGAATAGTTTCGAGGGGAGCAGTTGCCAGGTGATACAAAACTAAATTAAAATTATTATTGAAACATTAACAGCACGTAGGTATCATTTTGAAACAAATCGT